CCCCTGGGGAGAAGTTTTGTAATGATGACGGAAGATTTTATACTTTCTACAGGTACGTCCATCACTTCCCCAGGGCCACCTGCAGTCCCCAGTCCTGTTCTTCCTGGCTGTGATTCTGCAGAAATCCTGTTGCTCATTTATTGGGTGAACTGAGGAGGACGAGGGACAGGACTTTGCCTGGTTTTTTTCCCCGAGGAAGGAAAAGGTCGAACGGTTGGGAAAACCTGATTTTAGGCATGACCCCTCCTGCAAGGAAGGGGAAAAGCCTCATCCTCAAACCGTGGAGGTCTTAGGGCCAGGTGTCGCTCCCCAGCCCAGCCCTTCCATGGTGCTGCCCATCAAAATAAATAAATAAATAAATAAAATAAAAATGAATGTTTGTGGATGGCCACATGCCCATTTTGTGACATTTCCAGACCTCCCAAGACATCTGGCATGGAAAACAAAAGCAGCCTGCTTCTGCTCTGCATTTCGTGTCCTTCGGAAGACCAAGAATTCGGCGAAATGGAAAGAGAAAGATTTATCTCTGATCCCGGCGGGCTAGAGGGGGGTATGTAGATCCAAGACCCCCGCCCCCAAGTAAAGAGCACATGCCTGGGGCTGAGCAGCAGTTCCTCCGAGCGTGTGATTCCTCCCTTCTCTCTCACCCCACCCCCAGACACTTTGGGAAAGAAAGATCAGGATGTGGCCAACTAAATTTCAGACTCAGGTCAAAGTTCACGCCACAGGAACAACTCCAAACCAAAGCCCAAGAAGGTATAAAAACCCACCACTCCCTATTACATGTGGTCAGGTTTTTTTCCCCCCCAAAGCCATCTTTCTGTCTGGCTCGCCTCTTCAATAAACTACAACCTTCTTTCTAAAGCAGTCTCCATTTTGATTATTCCCGGCTTGGACTGGACCCTGATGAAGATTTTTCCTTCAACACATGGACTGTATTTATGACAGTTGCCTGTCAGGTGATCCTCATTTGTAATTTTCCCAGCCAGCTTCTGCCAAGCAACATCAATAGGGGAAGCCAGATTCGCTTAACGACCAAATGAATTACTTAACAACTGCACTGATTTGTTTAACAACTGTAGGAAAAAAAGGTCTTAAAACTGGGCAAAACTCATTTAACAACTCGCTTGCTTAGCATTTTTGGGTTCATTGTGATCGTGAGTTGAGGACTATGTGTATTACAAAAGGAGTTTAAAAACCTAAAACCCCATGGGCACCGCAGAGTAAAGCTATCACAACAATAACAAGGCAAACTGGGGCCATGTGTTAAAACCCAATGCTAAGAAATTTGATCCAACTTACCGTCCCTTAAAAAAAGCCACGTAAAAAATGGGCGCGTAAGAATTTACAAATTTCAGCAGGAAAGCCTTCAGAATCAACCTCTCCTCAAACGTTTTTTCTGTTTTGGGTACCTCTGCCATGAAGAAAACATGAAGGAAAGAAAACATGTTAAGTACGACTCAGGTAAGTGATACAAACAAAAGCAATTGTAGTTGTGTAGTTTCTGGGAAAATATATAGTCTGGTTTCTATGATTCTATGATGATTCTATGATTCTGAGATCCTATGTTTCTATGATTCCATGATTCTATGATTCTATATTTCTATGATTCCATGCAGGGCTTTTTTTGTCATAGAACGCCCAGAACAGAGTTCCAGCACCTTTTTTGGATGGAACCTTGTAGGGTAGGCAAGGCGGGTTGTATGACGTGTGTGAGTTCCGGCACCTTTTTTTTTTTTTTTTTTTTACAAAAAAAGTACTGATTCCATGATTCTATGATGATTCTATGATTCTATGTTTCTATGATTCTATGATTCTATGATGATTCTATGATTCTGAGATCCTATGTTTCTATGTTTCTATGATTCTAAGATTCTATGATGATTCTATATTTCTATGATTCCATGATTCTATGATGATTCTATGATTCTATGTTTCTATGATTCTATGATGATTCTATAATTCTGAGATCCTATGTTTCTAAGTTTCTATGATTCTAAGATTCTATGATGATTCTATGATTCTATATTTCTATGATTCCATGATTCTATGATGATTGTATGGTGATTCTATGATAGAATCACGATCACGTGAAGTATTAATATCACTTTACAATGCCTTAGTAAGGCCACACTTGGAATACTACATCCAGTTTTGGTCACCACGATGTAAAAAAGATGCTGAGACTCTAGAAAGAGTACAGAGAAGAGCAACAAAGATGATCAGGGGACTGGAGGCTAAAACATATAAGGAACAGTTGCTGGAATTGGGTATGTCTAATTTAACGAAGAGAAGGACGAGGGAGGACATGATAGCAGTGTTCCAATATCTCAGGGGCTGCCCCAAAGAAGAGGGAGTCAAGCTATTCTCCAAGGCGCCTGAAGGCAGGACGAGAAGCAACGGGTGGAAACTGATCAAGGAGAGAAGCAACTTAGAACTAAGGAGAAACTTCCTGACAGTGAGAACAATTAACCAGTGGAACAACCTGCCTCCAGAAGTTGAGAGTGCTCCAACACCGGAGGTTTTTAAGAAGAGACTGGACAGCCATTTGTCTGAAATGGTGTAGGGTTCCTGCCTGAGCAGGGGGTTGAACTCGATGACCTCCAAGGTCCTTTCCAACTTTTTTATTACTATTATTATTATTATTATTATTATTATTATTATTATTATTATTATTATTATTATTATTATTATTATTATTATTATTATTATTATTATTATTATTATTATTATTATATGATTCTATGGTGATTCTATGGTGATTCTATGATGATTCTATGATTCTATGTTTCTATGATTCCATGATCCTATGAATCTATGATTCTTTGATTCTATGTTTTTATGATTCCAGGATTCTACATTTCTATGACCCAGGTTTCCAGAATGAGAATTCCTTTTATCCATTAGTGGAAGAATGAGAAGAAACAATGCAGAGAAGAAAAGAATGAGACTATATGGCAGGAGGGCTGCCTGGCGCCTTGGGGAAGACTTATAAGGACCCTTGGGTTGAAGCAGCTTAGAGCAGCCTTCCTTCTCTTTTTTATGGGTTGGACCAGAGAAGATTGGGAGAGGCTGAAGTGATTCCTTCTCTCCTGTTCTGTCTAAACTAATCACCAGGACCTAGTCCTATATGGTGACCTACATCAGCCGAAGCACACTGTTGCAACCTACTTCTTTTTAAAAGAAAAGAAAACACCAACAACTGTATTTTCATGCTTATTAAAGCGTGATTGGGAATTGTTTTCATATTTTTTTCCCAAAAGCGTTCCAAATATATACACAAATGATAGGCTTTTAAAGAAATCATTTAACAGAGCGCTGCAACAGCCTTTAATTTAAGCGCTAGCCACAATTATTTAATAATAACATTAAACCCCACTCTCAACGTTACTTTTCCGAGAATTTTCATGCCGTGGGTGTCTAAAACAGGGTAGGCAAGAACCGCACCTCCCCTTCAGTCAAAGTAATATTTCTTTTAAAGAGGCTGAGTATAAATTTATACGGAGTATAAATTACTCTGTTTAAAACTTCCCCTTTACGGACCCCATGGAGTAAAATTTACAAAATTGTAGAAGTATCTTAATCAAGAAGAATTAATTTTTTCTCTCTCTAGTTAGGTATAATTAATTCATCTTTGGTGTCAGACGAAGGTCCTCAGTTAATTTGCTGAATTGTATTTGCTGATTTCGCTGTGCTCTCTCACAGTCACAAATATCTTCACTAAAGGCGCTGTTCCCAAACGCTTGCTCATAGGATCCTGGCTGATGAGAAGCTTTTGTGTCCACCTGCTCAACAAGGGACATCCCACAGGACCATGATGCACCTAAGGTCACCAGGCAGCAACTTTTCCCTCTTTCCCCACACTTCAGAAAAGAAGCACCTGAACAAACTCAAAATAGATTTCAAGCAAGCAGGGAGTAGAGGATGAAGTTGAGAAAGAACAAATCAAAGAGAAGTAGAGGAAGGCACAAAGAGAGAGAGAAAATTATGGCAAAAATGGAAGATAGAAATGCAGAAGCAAAGGCTGGGGTGTGAAGGGACAGGAGAGGGCTACTCTGCTTTTGCCACTGTAGGAGAAAGTGTGGCAGGACCTGGGGGCGGAGTGAAAAGAGGAATCAGCCTAGAATTCCTACATAGCTGCAACTGGACCATGTCCAACTTCCCTTGAATTCCAGGGACCTTTATCAAACTACTTAGGATAAGTTGCTTATCTCCAGGGAAACAAAAAACAAAAGTACCCATTTCGGTCAACTTTTTGGCAACGACTCCATAAATCTCATCCAGGATTAGAATCACCACGAGGTTTATGATGACGGCGGTCGCTGTCACTGTGACTCGCACGTTGGACTTGGATGACCCGTTGGTGCTCATGGAGAGTGCGGCTGCTAAGGTTATCCGGTAGGCAATCACGCCAAAGACGATGGAAAAAGTCAGTGAAATCTGGAAAGAAAAGGAGATATTAATAGAATGATATACGCATAGATGTTCTCAGGTAACTCGGTGATTGTGGTTGAATAACGATGGGGTTAAAGAAAGAGGGAAAACGCCATTCCTGGAAGATTCAGTGATCAATTCAGCAGATTCTTATATTCTTCAGCGATGCTCAGTGGTGGGATTCAAATACCTGAACAACCGGTTCTCTTACAACCGGCCTGGGCCTCTGAGGTCTAGAACAGACTTCCGGAAATGGCATCCACATACTTCTGGTGGGCCGTTCTAGGCCTGGGAGGCCTCCTCCAGGCCTCCAAAGCCTAGAACGGACTTCCGGAAGTGACATCCATGCACTGATAGAGTCAGCCTATTGCCCCCCAACAATCTGGGTCCTCATTTTACTGACATCATCATCATCATCATCATCATCATCATCATCATCATCATCATCATTATTATTATTATTATTATTATTATTATTATTATTATTATCATTATCATTATCATTATCATTATCATTATCATTATCATTATCATTATCATCATCATCATCATCATCATCATCATTATTATTATTATTATTACTACTACTACTACTACTACTACCTTGGAAAGTTGGAAGGCTGAGTCAACCTTGAGCTGGTCAGGATCAAACTCCTGGATTGAGTGGATAGAGTCAGCCTGCCAATACCACGTTCTAACTCTTGTGTCACCACAACTAACAAATAGGCTTATCTCTCTGGCTATGAATATAACAAGTATCTGCCCATCGGATAAAGTTAAAACATGACACCTAGTTGGGTAGCTATTATACAAAGATTCCTAAAAGTTCATTAGCAGGGCAAAAAATGATTCAATTGAGCAATTCCTCCCAAGAAGTTACACCAGATCATATTTAGTATGCTTACTAATCGATCTTCTTTTTTGATCATTGTGACTAAGTGGCGAATAGATTACGCCATACGTAGGCAGAGGGAAGAGGCAACATACAATAAAAGCAGAAGACCTAGCAGCCTAAGACAGTGGTTCTCAACCTTTTTAATGCCGCGACCTCAACCGGTCGTAAGTCGAGGACTAAACCGGTCGTAAGTTGAGGACTAAACCGGTCCTAAGTCGAGGACTACCCAACCGGTCGTAAGTCGAGGACTTTCCCTGCCCGGGAGCGCCGCGCATGCGTGGTTCCGCCCCCTGCGCCGGCCGAGGCGTAGCTGGCAAGCGGCAGAGACGGAGCAGGCCGACCACCAGCTGGCCCAGCCCAAGGGAGGTAAGGCACCCACCGGAAAAGGAGAAAAAATGGCGGACAAAAAAAATGGCAGACAAAAAAAAGGGCGGACAGCCTTGCTTGGCGACCCCCATGAAATGGTCGATCGACCCCAAATGGGGTCCCGACCCACAGGTTGAGAACCACTGGCCTAAGAGAACAGGCTCAATGCCTCTGTAGAGAAGACAAAGACACAATCTAACTTTGGCACAGCTTTTTGAGATGGACAGAGCATCTCATGAACGAGCAGCAACAATAACCACAACAAAATTGTGATTTTTTTTCCTCCCCCAAAGAGAAATTAGGATCCCACCCACTAGCCTAGATAATCTTGCTTTCTATTTCTGCCTTCCACCCCTGGGAGAATCCTCCTGGCTGGTCAGTGTTTGCTCACGATGCTGTGGGTTTTACCGTGCACAATCTTTGAGGCTACTGGTGGCTGTCCAGGTGATTTAAAGGTATTTATTCAAACACTGGAAAGTGAAAAGATCAGATTGTTTTCTTTGGGTTAACGGTAATATAATCAATCAGCCAGAAACCTACCCTCTTAGCCTTGCCATAATATTTGGGCCGAAGCAGAAAGCAGAAAGGAGCTGTTTATGTTCACCCCCCTGGACATTTTGTGTGAGGATATAATTTATGGACCTCGCTGCTCTATTGGTCAAAACGGTAAATGCTCCCATAATTTCAGCAAATCTCCTTCTGTTTATACAGCGCAGTTGATGAGGTGACACAAGATAAATAAATCTGGAGCCCTGCTTAAAACTATAACCTATGTGACTTTTCAGGGTGACGTCCACCATTTCTTTTCTTAGTCATTGCAAACTCAGGTAAGGGGAAGGGGAACAAAAAGACACTTTTAAAGAGGGTGTGTGTGTGTGTGTGTGTGTGTGTGTGCATGCAAGCTTGCCAGAGAAAAAAGGACCGAGCGAAGCTCTTTTATGACTCGTGGACTTCAACTCCCAGAATTCCTGAGCCAGCCGTGCTGAGGGGAAAGGGAGAGGTTTCCAAGCTGAGCCAGGCTGGCTCAGGAATTCTGGGAGTTGAAGTCCACGAGTCATAAAAGAGCCAAGGTTGCCTACCCCTGTGTTAGACCATGAGTAAAGCTGAGCCTTCGTGTGGCTGGCCTTTGCTCCATTGTCTTTTGATCATATTAATTAAATTTTTATAAGGACTTCTAGAAATAGCTGGGGCTGCTTGGAACCCAGCAAAGACCCCCCCATTCCTGGGGGAGACATAGAGGAAATAAAAAGGGATCCATGTTTGCAGATGGGATGTGAGGAAAAGTAGCTACTGGTAGGAAATATTGCACAGAGCACGAGGCCATGAGAATGGAAAGCCCCGCCCCATTCTCAGTTGTGGGCGGGGTTATTTGTAGGCCTCTCCCTGGTTGAATCTCCCCATCCTGTCAGAACCAACAGGAGAGGTGTGCTCTGGATCCCGTGAATCAGGGAGTGTCCTCTGGTGGACCCAGGAAAAGGGCTTTCTCGTTGGAGTGCCTGCCCTCTGGAACATCATTGCCCCAAAGACTGGAATTGTCCCAGCCCAACTGGTCCTTCATAAGGCCTTGAAGACCTGGTTTTGTTACTGAGCCTTAAGCTCCAGGTGAATGGTTGAGCGCGTGTCCCGGTCATGTTAACTGTTGTGTTGGCTGGTCTTTTATCTTGGGTCCTGTACATGTTATTTATTTGTTATCCTGCTTCTATCTTGTTTTCAATCATTGTTAGCCACCCAGAGTCCTGTCCTGTATCTGAGATGGAAGGTCACATAAATTCAGTCATTGGATCAGTCAGTCAAACCACTCAATCAAAAGTCTACATTAGACGTGGCAGGAGACAAGAAGAAGGCTTTGGGAAGGTCAATGTCGCACAGTTGAGGGGAAGATCCTCCATTCCTGACTACTGGAGCAGTTTGCCATCCTTCGTCGCTGCCCACTTTGCAGGAAAGGGTGCAAACAAGCAATCTTGAAGGACGTAACATATGGTAGAAGTCCCAATGGCCCACTATATACCGGGAAGTCATTGCCAAAATTCATGTCTGTTGTGTGATGATCTCACAGTTGGCATGACATGCCTCCTCCCTTCTTTTTTGCCCTCCCCCACCTCCTCTGACATCCATAAGATTGGCTGCCAGGAATCATCTCATCTAAGGCACCCATTATCACCAGCTGACACAAAGAACTTAATATGGGCATCGCTGGCCCATTCCAAATACTTCAATCTATCAAGCAAGTTTATTGATCAGATGTCAAACTCTGCACCGAACATTGTGTCATACTTGGGATTTGGCTGACAGGGCCTGGAAGGAACGCCAAAGTAGTCTATCACTCTGACAGGGGGTGCTTCGGGTGGAAGATTTATGCGGGAAAGAACAGTTGAAGGGGGAACTTGAAGGTGTCAGTGTAAGTTTTCTGTAGACCTCAAGGAAAACAAGACAAGGAGAGTTACCATGAACAAGATGGAAGCACAATTCACTAGGTAGCCAGGCGTGCGGTCTCTCCAGGTGAGTTTTTCCTCTTCCTCCTGGAACAAGACAGAAGGTTGAAAAATGGAAGTTGCAAAACTATACTCTGCTAAATAAGTGAAAAAGATACTTAGGTAATCATCAGTAATACAAGGATAAGAAAGCAAAGGCAGGACCAATAGTAATAGGCACCTTGGGGACAATCGCAAACTGGAGCACCACTTGAACCCCATTGGCATTGACGCGTTCACCATCCGTCAATTGCAAAAGGCAGCTTGGCTTGGAACAGCTTACATCCTGCGGCTGTATCTATAACACCATCAAACAGTCGCCTCTGCCTATCCCAGGTCCTTGGGAAGGACTCGGTAGGTGGACAAAAATGCCAAATCCCGTCCAGTCTGAACATCTGGCTAACTGTGCGACGAATCATAATACTTAGGTAATAATTAATCAAGGAACCGCCAAGAACACTCCCAGCAAAACTGACAGGGCAAGCCACTAGTATATAAAATGAAGAGCAAACCCCACTTCTTTCTAGCACTGATGTTGTTACCTCGTTTGGGAATGAAACATCTGCAAGAAAGCCACCAAGCTCAAAAGCATCAAAGACCCCACAGTTCCAAATATTTTCTTCTGCCGGTAATAATTCAGCGTTTTTAAACAAGATAGCAGTAATTCAGCCCAAAGCAGCACCTGCCAAAAGGTATTTTGTGACATTTGTGTCCCAAAGGTGCTTTTTTCAAGAGGCAACTGGACTTTCTTGTTTTTCTTTGAAGACGTTTCGCTTCTCATCCAAGAAGCTTCTTCAGCTCTGACTGGATGGTGGGGAAGGGAAGGATTTATACTCCTTGCAGACAGCTGGTCATTTGCGTTCTTAATTTAGAGAGTCCTTGAGACCATCTGGAGGTTTGTCTGTGTCCTCAGGGTCACCAAGTAGGTGTGCAAATGGGTGTGGAGCCTTCTTGGAACTGCGTAAAGGACTGTGTTGTACACTGGAGATAGAGGATGTCGTAAATGAACAGCCCTCTCTCAACACAGGGGGAAGGATACGACATTGTCTATCTACAGTATACAACACAGTCCTTTCTGCAGTTCCAAGAAGGCTCCACACCCATTTGCACACCTACTCAGGTGACCTTGAGGACACCCCTCCCCTCACCCCATTTTTATAGTCACCTTCCTGAGCATCAAGAACAAGACATGTACATAAAGTCATGTTTCTCCCAAAGCTTGCTTGAAAAGTACCAGCGGTCTCTCCCTGCCGAAGGGACCTCCGTGCTAATCTAATTTGATCGGTGTCTAATTAACTGTACAAATAGGGCATCTGGAAACTTTTAAATTGATTTTCCTGAAATGCGCATCCTCCTCATTACTGTTATGAGGAAAATATGTGTTGTTCTTGAATGCTTATTATTTCATAATATTTTGCTCGCCGCAGATGAACTGGATCAAATGCTGGAAGACCCGAGAAACAGCACGTTGTTTGTTTGTGTTTAGAAAAACGAACTATTTGTTCCAAATTTTGGAAACGGGGAGATTCAGCATGGCACTGAGTGTGGAAGGCTGGAACTGGATTCGGGATTCCACTCAGTCTGAGAATGCTCTATTCCCCACGGAGACACGGGGAGGAAGCAGTTCAAATTACGCTGCCTTGCCCTCGTACAAATTTCCCTGGACTTGGATTCTTTAATTATTAATCCAGGCAACTACAAAGCAGCGCGGGGCCCCATTTTTTTTTTAAAAAAAATAATACATTATTAAGTTTTTATAGTTACAAATCTTTAGTGCTTAATAAACAATGTGTTGTCCGGGTTCACCTATTTAACCTTAATAGCAACACAACTTTCATTTCTACTCTTTATTCCGCTTTTCTAGCCATTTATAAAAATTATCCCATGTTTGAAAATATAATTTAATTGGGATGGCTTTGAGATATGTCGTTGCATTGAACCCAGAAGTGGCTTAACTTGACTGGAACGTGTTTTTTTTTCCCAGTTTGGCCCTAAAATCACCTGTCTGAGATATCATTCTGGACAAATTTCTTCTTGAAAACCTCCATTTATGGAGCACTCACAACTTCTGAGACAAGCCGTTCCACTGATTAATTGTCCTCACTGTCAGGAAGTTTCTCCTTAGTTCTAGGTTGCTTCTCTCCTTGATTAGTTTCCACCCGTTGCTTCTTGTCCTGCCTTCAGGGGCTTTGGAGAACAGCTTGACTCCCTCTTCTTTGGGGCAGCCCCTCAAAGATTGGAAGGCTGCTATCATGTCACCCCTAGTATGAGCTTGAGTGATTAATCTCCTGTGCTGTGACTTAACATATGGCCCTGCTCCTTTGCCGTTGACATGTTCAAACCCACAAGTTTTGTAAATAATAATTGTTTGGACACTCGTGCTGTATTCCTTCTCTGGATTCCAGGACCGGTTTACGGAAACAGGAAAGCCCTGGTGGTGGGACAGGCGCGTGGTCTTTCCTCTTTGCTCACAGAGGTGGCAAGAGGCAACCAGTGCAGACATGCTCAGCTTCACCCCACAACAAGACAGCATGGCTGAAACTGCACACTTCCACACACCGCGCTGATACAGGAAGCCCTTGCCTTACAACATTTTGTTTCATGACCATTCAAACTTACAACAGCCCTGAAAAAAAGCGACCTACGTCCATTTTCCACACTTATGACCTTTGCACATGACCCTGCGGTTATGTGATCAGAATCCGGATGCTCGGCAACTGATTCACATATATGATGGTTGCAGGCCTCCCCCCCACTGCCCGGTCCTGTGGTCACCATTTGTGACTTTTGAACAAGCCAAGTCAATGAAGAAACCAGATTCTCTGAGCAACCAGGTTACTAACTTAACAAGCTACAGTGATGCCTGCGGCTACCGAGGTCGTAAAACAGGCCAAAGCTGACTTAACAAATGTCTCACTTGACAAGATAAATGTTGGGCTCAATTTGCCGTCGTAAGTCGAGAACTACCAGTAGAGGATCGGTTGCACGTTTTTGCAGGATTGGGACAGTGGCGCCTGCCAATTTTGAGAAGAGATTTGCTGTGGATTCCTGTCCTACGGTATAAATACCGTTTGATTGGCAGAGGGTTTCACGGACCGCAGATCAGGGTCCCTGGTCACAGCAGTTCCCAGGAAAAAGGTGAAAAGTGACTGTTTCGTGGGAATTGGCCTCCGCCGTTTCATTCTGGGAAACGAACAGCGGCCACCCAGTTTCTTGGAGCTGGGACATTCTGTTTTTGGCGTCCTTCTGCCAGCAGGAATTCCCATCAGAGCTGATGTGTAGCCCCAGGCCTGGGAAAGGACTTGCTCTCCTGCTATACCAGGGACCTCATCTCCCTCCAGGTGTTTGTTTTTTTGCTAATGAGATATTACTAAAGGAATGCCAAAAAAAAAAGGAAACAAAAAAAGAAAGCAGATCATGGCTTGGGTTAGTACCTGCCCTCCAGCTACAGAGCTCAAGAACTCAAGGAGGTGTTATCCCAAAGGTGCCTTTTCCAAGAGGCAACTGGACTTTCTGCTTTTTCTTTGAAGACCTTTCGCTTCTCATCCCAGAAGCTTCTTCAGCTCTGACTGGACGGTGGGGAGTGGAAGGATTTATACTCCTTGTGGACAGCCGGTCCTTTGCATTCTTTTAGAGAGTCGTTGAGGCCACTTGGAGGTTTGTCTGTGTCCTCAGGGTCACCTGAACAGGTGTGCAAATGGGTGTGGAGCCTTCTTGGAACTGCTGAAAGGACCACGTTGCAGACTGGAGATAGAGGATGTCGTAACTGAACAGCCCTCTCTCAACAGAGGGGGAAGGATACGACATCCTCTATCTACAGTATACAACACAGTCCTTTCTGCAGTTGCAAGAAGGCTCCAGACCCATTTGAACACCTACTCATGTGATCTTGAGGACACCCCTCCCCTCACCCTATTTTTACAGTCACCTTCCTGAGCATCAAGAACAAGACATGTACATTAGGCCAATGTCATGTTCCTCAGGGGTGACAAGGGGGGACAGGATAGCAGCCTTCCAATATCTCAGGGGCTGCCCCAAAGAAGAGGCAGTCAAGCTGTTCTCCAAAGCGCCTGAAGGCAAAACAAGAAGGAACAGAGGGAAACTGACCAAGGAGAGAAGCAACCTAGAACTAAGGAGAAACTTCCTGACAGTGAGAACAATTAACCAGTGAAACAACCTGCCTCCAGAAGTGGTGAATGCTCCAACACTGAAAGTTTTTAAGAAGAGACTGGACAGCCATTTGTCCAAAATGGTATAGGGTTTCCTGCCTGAGCAGGGGGTTGGACTAGATGACCTCCAAGGTCCCTTCCAACATCATCATCACCCTCACCCTCACCCTCACCCTCACCCTCACCCTCACCCTCACCCTCACCCTCACCATCACCATCATCATCATCATCATCATCATCATCATCATCATCATCATCATTATCATTATTATTATTATTATTATTATTATTATTATTATTATTATTATTATTTGTCGTGGAAGATGCCTACATGTTCTCAGCTGAAACAGTATTCCAAAAGAGCCCATCAGAAGTGAATTCACACAGCACAGCACACAAGTGGCTGTAAAAGTCCTACCAGGCCATTGAAGCAATACCATTTCTTTTTCTTTCTTTCTTTCTTTCTTTCTTTCTTTCTTTCTTTCTTTCTTTCTTTCTTTCTTTCTTTCTTTCTTTCTTTCTTTCTTTCTTTCTTTCTTTCTTTCTTTCTTTCTTTCTTTTCTTTCTTTTCTTTCTTTCTCTCTCTCTCTCTCTCTCTCTCTCTCTCTCTCTCTCTCTCTCTCTCTCTCTCCCTCTCCCTCTCCCTCTCCCTCTCCCTCTCCCCCCTCTCTCTCCCCCCCTCTCTCACTCTCTCTCTCTCTCTGGGTTGAGTTGCAGGCTTTCAATTTCCTCCAACTGCAGCATTCAATCTTTTTTTCCTACCTAACAGGAGCTCTGGGTTAACAGCATTCATTTTAAATGCCTCCTTTCAATTTCCGATGTCATTAGGAGTTACATAAGACATCGCCAAGAGGGAACATTAACCTGTGGAGGGACCTCTGCTGAGCATCTCAAGCACCCAGCAATATTTTATTCACAAATTGCTCTTTAAAAAGAGAGAGAGAGAGAGGGAGAGAGAGAGAGAGAGAAAGAGAGAGAGCGCACTCTGCAATGATGGTGATGTCATCAACATTAAAAGCACATCTGCAGCTACACTTTAATAAGGTTTTCATTAATAGTACAATATGCCCTCCATTTAATGCTTGAGGCAGAGGAAGATTTAATACCATTCAAATGTGAATAGAGGAAAAAAAAAACACGGTTCTACGAGTTTTTCCCCATCGCCGAGTTTCATCTTTTCTTTTAAGAACTTGGGAGGCTAAAACAAAGATTGCTGGAATTGGGCAAGTCTAGTTTAATGAAGAGAAGGACCAGGGGGGACACGATAGCAGTGTCCCAATATCTCAGGGGCTGCCCCAAAGAGGAGGCAGTCAAGCTCTTCTCCAAAGCACCAGAAATAAGACAAGAAGCAACGGATGGAAACTCATCAAGGAGAGAAGCAACCTGGAACTAAGGAGAAACTTCCTGACAGTGAGAACAATTAACCAGTGGAACAATCTGCCTCCAGAAGCTGTGAATGCTCCAACACTGGAAGTTTTTAAGAAGAGACTGGACAGCCATTTGTCCGAAATGCGATAGGGTTTCCTGCCTGGGCAGGGGGTTGGACTAGATGACCTCCGAGGTCCCTTCCAACTCTGTTATTCTATTCTAAATAAAGAGTTTTGAGGACAGCTTTTCAGAAGGGAAAAGGCATCAGGCAAATGTTCAGTACCGGGAAAGAGAACAAAGCAAGTAGGAATTTACAAGAATTCCATACATTCAAGGTCTCACTCCTTTCAAATCACTTATGCGTATATCTTTCATCATGCACCCAGGCCCTCTGGGATTAATTGGGATTCTCATCTTTAAAACAAGAAAAAAAAAGGTGGGGGAAAAAAACAACAGATTTTTTTTTCAGATTGGTGTCAGGCTCTTTCTTCCCCATTTTTTGGGGGGTACTTTATTCCTATTGCCTTTAATAAATCGGATATTGTTCAGCAGAAGGGGAAGGGGAAAAAAAAAAAACCTCAGATCTTTTATGAGCTGAGTCCCCAAGTTTTAAGATTTGGTGCCTGGTTTGATTGTTGATTTTTAAGGCCAGGCTGGTGATGCATGCACATGCTCACGGGTGGAATCTGACAAGCAACACCTGGGATGCCAAATGGAAAGCATTGTGGAGATGGCAGGCAATCCGTTGCTAGATAGACTAAAACATACGAAGAACGGCTACAAGACTTGGGTTTGGCTAGTCTAAAGAAAAGAAGAAATAGGGGAGACAGGATAGCAGTCTTCCAGTATTTGAGGGGCTGCCACAAAGAAGAGGGGGTCACGTTATTCACCAAAGCACCGGAGGGAAGGGCGAGAAACAATGGTTGGAAACTGACCAAGGAGAGAAGCAACCTGGAATTAAGGAGAAACTTCCTGACAGTGAAGACAATCAACCAGTGGAACAGCTTGCCACCAGAAATCGTGGGCGCCCCATCACTGGAGACTGACAGAACGGTGCGGCAAGGACACTCCTTCTGAAATAACCCCCAATCTTCAGATTTAATAATAATAATAATAGTAAAGTTGGAAGGGAACTTGGAGGTCTTCTAGTCCAACCCCCTGCTCAGGCAGGAAACCCTACACCATTTCAGACAAATGGCTGTCCAGTCTCTTCTTAAAAACTTCCAGTGTTGGAGCATTCACAACTTCTGGAGGCAAGTAGTTCCACTGGTTAATTATTCTCACTGTCAGGAAGTTTCTCCTTAGTTCCAGGTTGCTTCTCTCCTTCATTAGTTTCCATCCATTGCTTCTTGTCCTGCCTTCAGGGGCTTTGGAGAATAGCTTGACTCCCTCTTCTTTGGGGCAGCTCCTGAGATACTGGAAGACTGCTATCATGTCCCCCCTCGTTCTTCTCTTCGTTAAACTAGACATTCCCAATTCCAGCAACCTTTCCTTATATGATTTAGTCTCCAGTAATAATAATAATAATAATAATAATAATAATAATAATAATAATAATAATAATAGTAGTAGTAGTAGTAGTAGTAGTAGTAGTAGTAGTAGTAGTAGTAGTAGTAGTAAAGTTGGAAGGGACCTTGGAGGTCATCTAGTCCAACCCCCTGCTCAGGCAGGAAACCCTATACCATTCCAGACAAATGGCTGTCCAGTCTCTTCTTAAAAACTTCCAGTGTTGGAGCATTCACCGCTTCTGGAGGCAGGTGGTTCCACTGGTTAATTGTCCTGACTGTCAGGAAGTTTCTCCTTAGTTCTAGGTTGCTTCTCTCCTCGTTTAGTTTCCATCCGTTGCTTCTTGTCCTGCCTTCAGGCGCTTTGGAAAATAGCTTGACTGCCTCTTCTTTGGGGCAGCCCCTGAGATACTGGAAGACTGCTATCATGTCCCCCCTTGTCCTTCTCTTCGTTAAACTAGACGTCCCCAATTCCAGCAGCCGTTCCTTATATGCTTTATTTACCACCATGAAAACAACACAGAAGGCCAGCCAGATCTGGCACTGAAATGAACACAACCAGAGAGGGGAAAAAAAAATCAATTCATTTTGGATTCACAAACAGCTCCAGGCTTTTTCTTTTTTAAAAAAGTGACCTTTACTACATAACCCCAGTGGTGCCTTCTTCCTTACTCAGCCTCTGTGCTGCACTCAAGACATCCTTCATTTGTCAGAATTCACGGAATGAATACTCTTTTTTCCCCCTCTGCTTTCATGTCCGAATGAAAAGTCATGAAAATGTCACTGAAAGAGTATGTTTTGCCAAAATTTCATTGTAAGGGATCCCTACTAAGGGATGTTTCCATTTTGCCTCAAGACGAGCTGCAGGCAAGGAAAATACTATCAAGAAGTTTGTGGTCATTGCTTTGAGGTTGAGGTTCGGGTAGACTTTGTTTTTGTTTTTTAAAAAATGGCAAGTAATCACAGAATTGATCATTGTGGGACTGATTTTTTGAAGGTCAGAAGTCAGAAAGCTATTTTATAACTAGTGGGCTCTGGAAACATTTACAAGAAAATGTACACATTCTAGAGAAATGCCTTCACATGATATATGTCAAGCAGTATTTATATCGAGTTTGAGGAGTAGAGTAGAGTAGAGTAGAGTAGAGTAGAGTAGAGTAGAGTAGAGTAGAGTAGAGTAGAGTAGAGTAGGGTAGNGAATAGAATAGAATAGAATAGAATAGAATAGAATAGAATAGAATAGAATAGAATATAGAGTGAGTGGAATGGAATAGAATGGAATGGAATAGAATAGTACAGAACAGAATAGAAAATATGGAATGGAATGGAATAGAAATATAGAATTCAATATAGAATTCAATATAGAATTGAAATAAAGAATAGAGTGGAGTAGAGTAGAGTAGAGTGGAATAGAATAGAATAGAATAGAATAGAATAGAATAGAATAGAATAGAATAGAATAGAATAGAATAGAAAACAGAACAGAACAGAACACAACAGAGCTGGAAGGGAACTTGGAGGTCTTCTAGTCCAGCCCCCTGCTCAAGCAGGAGAACCTACACCGTCTCAGACAGGTGACCATCCAGTCTCTTCTCAAAAACCTCCAGTGATGGAGCACCCACGATTTCTGGTGGCAAGCTGTTCCACTAGTTAATTGTCCTCACTGCCAGGAAGTTTCTCCTTATTTCCTGGTTGCTTCTCTCTTTGGTCAGTTTCCAACCATTGTTTCTTTCTATTATACAGGATGCTTTAAAATTTAGCATCTTTGGTTTGTGAAGTCGCAGCTGACCTGGTTTTGACTGTGTTTCCAGAACTGGGTTCCGTAAAACTGGATGTTGAGTCCTTATTTCCTTTTTTGCAGCTATTAATAACAGTAGCAACCGCTGGCTTGCTCAATATTTAAAATATTAAGCCCATTAATACAGATATGACGATTCTGCTGAGGTCCTCAGCTTCTTCACCCGCGAAAGGAAGCTTACAAGCAGAAATTCATTTGGCTTGCATTTTAATATGATGTTGACCTAATTTTACGCTTCCTTTTCCAGGTTTTTTTTTTTTGTGATGCAGTTTTCTCATAGAGGAAAAAAAACCCACACTCCTTAGAGAGAATTGCGTACGACTGTGCGAGTCCAAAGTTGAGTCCAAAGTTGAGTATAAAAACGGAACGAAAAGAGATGCAAAGTTTCCTATGGGTTTCTAAGAAAAAGAAAAAATCATAAACAGATGCAGAAATGGAACGGAATTAATGGGACGAACATGTTCAAACCTTCCTAGAACAGAAATACTTTCCGGCTTGCATCCCACCCTTCCTTTGGGTTTTTGGCCCCCCAAAACACTTTCTCAAGCTAGTTGTCGCCGTAAGTCTCCAACGTGCATCTTGCAGCTGGACCAATTTGTTGCTTCCTTGCTACACTGCCACCCCGTGTTGTATTTGGAGAATTTCTTTCTCCTTGTTCCTTGGGTTTACACAAGGGAGAAAAACCTCTCCCAACACCAGATTTTCCAGTAGAGCAATTAAAAATTACAGCACGCCTTGGCACGGGATAGAGTACGTCAAGGACCAGGCCTTAACAAATGAATAAATTGAGTTTTGTAAAATTCATAATCAAGAGTTTCCAGTCAACAAAAGACAGGCTGGAATAGGTCTGAAGCATTAGGAATGTTGTTAAAGACACGCCATCGAAAGAAGAAAGCAACAGATCCCAGAGAAACTATAAACAAATGTTTTCTCGCAATCACAGTCCTTTCTCTAAATTGGAATAGAATAGAATAGAATAGAATAGAATAGAATAGAATAGAATAGAATAGAATAGAATAGAATAGNTCTTCTTCTTCTTATTATTATTATTATTATTATTATTATTATTATTATTATTATTATTATTATTATTATTATTATTATTATTATTATTATTTGTCATGGAAGATGCCTATTCTTTTCCTATCTCTTCATTCCTCTTTTTGACCATCAGATCCAACTGGCTTTTTATTTTCCTCCTTGGCAGTTATTCCTGATTATAATCCTGAGTGCCAAAACCCCCATTTTCTGAATGTAAAAAAAACCAATAATGATAATCCCTCTTCTACACCCTTGGCAGCGTGTGCTAGGTTTAGATGCATGCAACATGTTTACAGATGGCCCGAGAGGAACAGTATGTATTCCTGTTTGAGGTCTCATGGTAGGGACAAAGATGAGATTTTGCAAAATAAAATAACTAATTACAGCTTTGGTTTCTTTTGCAAAGTCCTTAGATTGAGGTTCTGATTTCTGGCTAAATCAAACTCAGATTTATTTATTTATTTATTTATTTATTTATTTATTTATTTATTTATTTATTTATTTATTTATTTATTTATTCATTCATTCATTCATTCATTCATTCATTCATTCATTCATTCATTCATTTATTTATTTATTTATTTATTTATTTATTTATTTATTTATTTATTTATTTATTTATTTATTTTTTGCCTGGCATAGCGAAATGCAGCTTAGTGTACAAAATTCACAGAAACAATATATAAAAAAACCTGTACTAAAGTATAAAACACCAGAGCGGTGAACTCAGAATAAGAGAACCGATGACGCTCTCACAGATCAAACTAGCTCACATCCTCGTCACGCAACTGCAGACAATCCCAAGAAGACAGAAAACATGACCTCATCAAAAGTTAGAACAGAATAGAGCTGGAACGGACCTTGGAGATCTTCTAGTCCAGCCCCGTACTCAAGCAGGAGATCCTCTACCATCTCAGATAACTGACTGTCTAGCCAGAGGTAGTCAACCTTGGCTCTTTTATGACTTGTGGACTTCAACTCCCAAAATTCCTGAGCCAGCCATGCTGAAGGGAAAAGGAGAGGTTTCCAAGCTGAACCATGCTGGCTCAGGAATTCTGGGAGTTGAAGTCCACGAGTCATAAAAGAGCCAAGGTTGACTACCCCTGCTCTAGACCAAACTTGGCCCTTTTATGACGTGTGGACTTCAACTTCCAGAATTCCTCAACCAGCGTGCCTGGGAGTTGAAGTCCACAAGTCATAAAAGGGCCAAGTTTGAAGACCCCTCCCAGAATTCCTCAGCCAGGCACACCGGCTGAGGAATTCTGGGAGTTGAAGTCCACATGTCATAAAAGGGCCAAGTTTGAAGACCCCTCCCAGAATTCCTCAGCCAGGCACACCGGCTGAGGAATTCTGGGAGTTGAAGTCCACACGTCATAAAAGGGGCAAGTTTGAAGACCCCTGCTTTAGACCATCATAAAGGGAAAAAGTAGGGATAGAATTTTATCCTGAGGCTAATAAATGATCTGGGAATGCCTCATTCTCTTCAACGAGTTCAAATCTTCAAGACAAGGGGGTTTGCATCCTGGGGTCATGAAAAAAAAAAAAACTTTTTATCTATTAGCTTGGAGAGCACATGGAGAAAGGGTAATGGGACGGATGACTATGACGGGGGTCAGTTTATCCCTTAACTTTAAAAAAGTCAGGAAGGAAGGCCTGGAAAAGCACAAATCGGCCAGTCTGATCTTAATGGATCAGAATATTCCAAGCAACATCATACAGCTATTGATCTGGAAATGNTTGACTCCCTCTTCTTTGGGGCAGCCCCTGAGATACTGGAAGACTGCTATCATGTCTCTCCTCATCCTTCTCTTCCTTAGACTAGACATACCCAATTCCAGCAACCGTTCTTTATAAGATTTAGCCTCCAGTCCCCTAATTATTGTTTTAATTTATTTTTTAATAACTAAAGAACTATAGTTCTAAAGCATAGAACTGAGATGCTTTATGAAAACTAGAAGGTAGAAGTGAATCTCTAAATGATCTTGAGGAATCTGGGGGTCTGAAACACAGTTCCCCTCTATTCTGCATTTGGTCCAGCTTTGGGTAATGAATAAATAATTACAAAAAAAAATAAAGAATTATTTATAATTGTTTGTTCTGCAGCTTCACCTCAAGGGTTCACGATAAATGTTTCAAGCTTTCCAATTTTAGCAAAAACTATTCTTCTGAAACGTTAGCACCTTTAGGGCCCTGTTCTGGTGATAAATCACCAATTTACCTTTTCGTATTGGCTTTCTTCCCCTACATTCAAGACAACAGATAAAATATTTACAGCAACATGAAGTTCATTACCTTAATGGCAAAACCTGTTATTCACTTTAACTGTACTGCAATAGCTAAAATGCTGTCATTAAATGCCACGGGATCCCCTGTTTTACGAGACTCACATAGATGACTCTGATTACAAAGAAACATGCAGTTAATTCCATCTCTAAAAAGAAAATGCAGGTCTAGGATTATCAAAAGGCATTTCAGGGGCCCTAACCAAACCCGGATGCAATGGTATAGTCAAAAGATATTTAAACTGGTTATCTGCCCTTCAGTAGTTATGGACAATGCAAATTCTTCTTGTGGTCCTAAAAGACTAACAAAAAAATAAGCTTATCTGAGGTATCATTTCACCCCTCAGTTCCAGGCCAAAAACAAAAAACAAAACTGCAAATCTCAAATTGTGGTTATCCCAGAATATCAATTTCTGTTAGGGGATCAAATTTCAGCCTCCAGCAAGATTGATATATATCTTTCAGCCTTAAATGCAAAGGAAATATAACTAGGTTTGGAGTAGCAACTAACTAAAATGGCAAAGGAGATATCATACCTATCCAATTACACCCACATTTTTTTTCTTTTTTGTCTTAGGTAGAATCATTTAAGTTCCCCAATCAGGCTAACAATAAAGGTGGGAAGTAAAAAAAAACCCTTTTTCATATGAAATCAGAGTTTGAAAAGAGAAAACTTAGGGCCCCTTTCAGCTCCTAAAAACCTGCTCAGAGTCCTATCAATTTGTTTAAATAATGTAGTGGGTATTTACGTGTGCAAATCCAGATAGATAGACGGACGGAGGGACGGATGATAGATAGATAGATAGATAGATAGATAGATAGATAGATAGATAGATAGATAGATAGATAGATAGAT